GTTCTACATCCTGTATTTCAACTATTATTCTGCAAGTTCTGTTTTTTGTTTCTCATTTTGTTTGCAAATTTCTATAATAGATCAATCTCTCTTGTCTCGTATCATTTTTTTTTTTTTTACTTGCAAATGTTAAATTTCAAAATTCTTTGGCATCACTGCCTTTTTTGAAAATATTTATTTCATCTTGTTAATAACTAGAAATGTTCTGACAGAAATAAAAGTAAGAATGAAAAACATTATTTTCAACAAATTAAATATACAAGGATGATATAAAGTTTATAAGTTTGCACAGAAACAAAAATTAATGCATAAATATTATTATATTAATTCATTGTAAGTCCATGAATTGCATACACCTCAGTACTTCAATTGTTTCTGATTGCTGCCAGAGGAAAGTACAATGAGCAGGTTACTATAAAAGAATTAAAGCATATGTAGTTATCTACTAAGTGAAAATGTATCTACTAACAAAATAACATTGAGATAAATATTAACATATTTATTTTGTCAGTATGGATACATTTGGTATACAATATGTATTTTTATTTTATTAAGTTTGTCCATTATGTTGTATGCATTATCTTATTTAACCCTTTAGTGGGCGCGCCCGCGGCAAATTGCCGCAAAATAATAATAAAGTTATTTGTTTGACGTTGTACTTAATTATTGTGGAAATACATCATAAGTATTCTCTCTTCATATTACAAGTTACAACTTGTCTGTAAAATCGAGTCAATTATGCTAACCGTTTAGCTGTTACTGGACTTTGAATCAAGTCGTACCTAATTTGCGTTGTAACTGCCGCTACGCGCCCTGTCATGTAAGTAAAATATGAGTTTACTTTTATATATATTTTTTCAATCTCTTTAATAAAGTAGGTCAATATTTGCAAGTTTATTGAATAAATATATTAAACTAACAAAGCTGTGATAAATTTGGACTACAATGCTACTATAGGTGGTGTAGACACTGTAGATCAGATGTGTTCATACTACACTACATCCTGAATTACAAGAAGATGGCCACTAGCTCTCTTTTATCGTCATCTCGACATTGCTGGAATAAATTCTAATATTATATTTAAATTTAATAATCCCGATAACAATCAGAGAAGACGAAATTTTATAAAAAATCTTGCCCTAAGTCTAATGGAAGAACATTTGAAAGAAAGATCGATGATGCTGACACTTCGTAAAGACATTTGCGCAAAAGGAAACGAAAAGCCGCCCAAAGAAGTAGCAAAACCAGGAATTTGTTTTATTTGTGGTAAACACAAAAACAATAGGACAAAATCGATTTGTCAAAAATGTGAAAAACATGTTTGCAAAAAGCATAGTAATATAGTTATTATATGTGCCATGTGTGAAGCTGAACATCACATGGAAGTAGAGTGACTTCTTTTTATTAACTAAATATTTTATAACCAATTTGTTTATTAAAATGCCATAAAAATAGTTTTCTGGTATATCTGAATCATATTTTCAAAACAATAATTAATTATTGACTTAAATCAAGTAATATTATATATGCGGTGTAATTGCCGCGATGCGCCCTCTCGTGAGATCCTGAAAGGCGCGTTCTCCGAAGGGTTAAATGAATTCAAACTGCTGTATTCAAACATTTTCAAAACTGCTGTTCTTTTGTAGATTCTTAACGTTTAAGTTTAAACCTGATGAAGAGCTATAGAACAAGTTTAAAAGCAATAGTTTAGCAAAAGTGTTTTGTTGAATATCTAAAAAAAAATTGTTATTTATTTATAAATTCTTCATATCCAATTGGCAGTTATAAAGGATCCAAAGAGCTAAAAAGGAAAACTATAAAATTCTTAGCATAAGGACATTTTATTTTTTACATGGAACATATAATAAAGTATAAATATTATTTAAAATTTACAATGTTGAAGACTAAATACAAAATAGCATTTTAAAAATATTTTCAGCACATTCATTCACAATTATTGGAACACAAAAGTAGCAGAGGCTCTTCAAAAATATTTTAAAAAGTATCTGTCACTAGAGAAAATTCAAGACAATTTGCATGTGTATAGGCAGGGAAGAGCTTCAAAATAATTTTTTTTTTCTGCAATTTGAAAAAATTGTAGACTTATAAATTCCATTGTTGTCTGTCCACCCATCTTTCCTTAATCTTGAGAATGGAGATAGATGAAAGACAAGACTAGATATGAAAATCTTTGGGGCAGGAGGCCTTGATTTAATATATATGAACATCTGATACAAACTGGAAGTCATGTTTTTTCAATTCAAAAATTTCCTCCTGAAAAGTGTTAGATAGATGACTGACATGACTCTATTGTTAAAGAAAAATTATGATGTATACTACTAATTTGAGATGGAGAGCATATATTTTAAATGAAATTAATTAAAAATATGACTAAAAATTGCAGCCTGGTATTGTGATGATGTCACGATAAATAATTGCTCATTGTATTTAGTTTTCAACATTGTAAATACATTTTGTACTGGATTGTTTTAATATTTTTATTTTTACAAAATTATTTAGAATATTAAAACCATAAATTAAACATAAAACAGACAAAAAAATTATTTTTACATTACCAAAAATCAAAACTGGTAGAAAATACCACTACTACACAATAGCTCAATATGTTTGTTAGTCAGCTGAAAAATATACAAAAGTGCAAATCTGACATATGGAAAGTGAGTTAGGACATCAAAGAATCATTTATGAAAGAATGAATTGTCCAAAAGCTTAATGTTTGATAGTTGAGGACTCCTTTGACTTCTTTTATTTGTTCAGTTTACAAGATAATCATCCTGATGTATTGCTTGCATGTATCCAAACAAGAGATAGGTTGAAGAGATTGCAAAATCTTGTGCTTAATAATCTTATTTTGAATAGGGTTGAAACCTGAATAGGGTTGGGTTTTTGAACCCGTCAGATTGCAATTTGTTAGAGATCCTTTTTCAATATCAGAGATACCAGTTTCAATGTATATTATTATTTTGATTGTCAAAATTCACTTTATAGTGATGAAAAGAGCAAGAGTTTATAATTTACTAGCAGTACAAACAATGAAGTCCTGTCTTAATTATCAACAGGACTGATTATACATTGACCCAAAATGATTTTGAAAAAGTTCCGTTTTCATTAGACAGAATATAAATATATAACAACAAGAAATGCTAAACTTTAAAAAAATTGACATTAAATTATTTCTATTTTAATTAATGATATTCATTGATATAGGTTTAAGAATCAATTGCTCAGCTTCTATGCATTGTAGAGAACTAAAATAGGAAAAAGTTGACAGCTTCTAAATCGAACTTTCTAAAAGGTTCTGAGATTTTAAGTAAGAGTGCCTTCTAATAGTATAAATTGACATGCAGAAAGTGAACTAGATTAGAATTAAAGATGATAGGTAAAGATGTGATGCATATGCAGTTCAGTAGTTTGGAGAAAAATAACAGTGATGTTTTGAATGTTTCAGAGCATGCAAAAGATTTTTCATGTTTTCTAAACATTCTTGGCAGTTTTAGACAAAAGAAAAACTGTTTAGTTGTGTAATTGCTAGTTAAACTTGACAGATAATCCACATTGTCACAACCTGCATCTACTTTGTAATTGACTTTCAAACATAATCTATGAGTTTTTTGTGCAAAATTACAGCATTTTTTTTTTTATAAATGAGAACTAAGATTTATTATGCTATAATTCTGATCAGCTGCATTAATTCAACTTTATTTCTTAAATAATGGATATTTTTTTAATGTTAAAGCCAGATAGTTAAGCATGTAGTTTTATATAGTTAGAAAGAACTGATTTTTAGAACTAGAATTTTAATAGTATCCTACTTCCAAATAAGCTCTCTTTGAGACCTGTTTTTATTCACTTGAAGACAAACATTAAATTAGAGTTTAAGTAAAAATTATTCATAGGAATATGCAAGATATTGCTTTATTGTAATAAAGCATATTATAAAATTTACAATTTACATATTTCTAAAATAAAAGATCATATGGCATTAAAAAGACCAAGTAAAAATGGTTAGCAAAATATCAACATTCAAAACATGTAAATGTAAACATATAAACATGTAAAAACACCTTGAAATATTATCTGGACTATACTGATTTTGTTGCCTGATCAGTTACTTACCCTCTTATCTTTCCTACCATTTATTCTACTTTTTCATCTATCAGAAAAGTAACTTTTATCCAAAGCTTGTTTGCCTTAAGTATAACAGTTGTGAGTACAGTATCCCTTGCTTAATGCAGAAATTGATTAATGTGTGAAATTAATTGCGGCAATCTCTTTTCATATGCAACAGAAGTTTTAATTAATGTGGCTTTAACAGCTTCTTTATTTAACATAGATATTTTTTGTTGGCAAAATGTTAGTGAATTTTCTATTTTTGTTTATTAAAATAGCAGGTGGTGATTGTTCGGTCAAGTACCAAGGTACAACTGTACTTGATTAACACAATTTTGATATATGTGATAGCATGAACGAATTAATTAACACTGTTAATCAAAACATATCTGTATTTGAAGTTGAAATGATACATGCATACATGTTTTTTCAAAAGAATAAATGATATTTTATAATAAAAAGTTTATTAAAGTATTTAGTTCATTTTCAAATTTTATAGGATGATTATTTCTTGCAATCCTTATTAAAAAAAAATATTTATATATATATGAATAAAGGACTATTTTTTACAGAATTAATGGAATTTTGTTTATAAATACAGTTAGTTTCAATGAAGGGTTGCTTTCATTCAGAAGCAATTAAATTAATGTATAAATGTTTATTATATAAATATTTTATAAGTGAATTAATATTAGATTTTTACAGTTTTGTTTTTATCTGCTTTTATGTTTATTTCTATTAGAAAAGGAAGTCTATTTTGTTTTTTATGAATTTATTTTATATTATTTAAATAAATAAAGCAATCAGTTTCTTTAATTTTTAAAAATTGAATAATTAATTTTGACAAAAACTTTTCTGTTTAATTTTAGTTGCCATTTGATGAATTACTTCTAATGGTACAGACAGTGCATTATTTTCTATCTTCATGCGTACTCCAGTGGGCAGCACTTTAGCCCTACAGAAAGCAGGTAGTCCTCATGATGAGGATCCTACCCTGAGCCATTCTTCACTTCCTGTAGCAAATATTTTGAATAGTTTAGACAAAGATGAATTTGGAATCAGGTTAGAAAATTTTAAATTTATTTATTTAAAAAGTTTATTTATAAAAGTTTTAAATGTAGTTTTTTCATTGATGATGATTTTTATTCTCTCATTAGTATGTAGTATAAATGTTAAAAATGATGAAGCTTTTATCAGTCACGTGAACTTTTGCAATTTGAAACATAAATACGAGTAAATTATCAATTACTAATACTTTGTAAATTTTACTTTTATTCAGAATATTTTAAAATTTTATTTCAAAACTATTAAAAACATAATTTGGTGTTGTCTGAAATAAAAATAAACAATGATTTTAATTTTAAAAATTTGTTAAAATATAACAACAAACTACTCACCACACCTCAATAATAATCACATACACTGAACCAATTTACGGTGTGGTACGATAAACAACGAAAAAATAACGAAAAACAAACCTTTTCGAACCCCTTCTGGGTTCTTCATCAGGTTCCTACAGTTTTAGCTTGTAAATTTGAATAATGAATGTCGTTCAAATAAGTTCGAATAATATGCGCGTTGTATAAGTTTAAAAGAACGATTTGAACTCAAGATTGAACTTATTTCAATGACATTCGTTATTCGAATTTACGAGCTAAAACTGTAGGAACCTGATGAAGAACCCAGAAGGGGTTTGAAAAAATTTGTTTATTGTTATTTTTTCGTTGTTTATCGTACCACACCGTAAATTGGTTCAGTGTATGTGATTTGTTAAAATAAACAATTGATGTGGAGTAAAATTTCTCTAACTCAAAGCTCCAAGGGATAGGAAAAAACAAATTAAGAGAGGACCCAGGAGGGATCTGAAAGTATTTGTATTGACTGATAGATTGTTTTGCACCGGTTAAAGGTTTTATGAGCAGTGTTTTGTTTAAATTTTTTTTTTTTTTAGAGAAATTTATCATGTCTCAACAAAGTTACTGCTTTTAAGCTTTTGGTATTTAAATTTTATATTTTAGTATAATCAATAAATTAATGCTAGTAAATTAAATCTTAGTATAATCAAAAACTGTTAGACTTCTTTCTTTGGGCCTTTTAACTCCTGCTTGAGTGCTGGGAAAGTGAAGCAAGAACTTTTTTGTATTAAGTCATAGATATTCTTTAATGAAATAATTGTTAAGATGGTTGATAAAAATTACTATATTATCTGTAAAGTTTAATAAAGGAAATAAATTCTGGTTAAGCATTAACTATTGTTTTTTTTTTTACTTTGAAGTGGAAAAAAAGACGATAATTTTAAAATAAATAAATTTATATTATCCATTAAAACAAATTAGTGATATTTAATTGTTTTGTAATACTTATTAAATAATACAAAGTGCTTTTAATTTATTAAGTGATAACTAGAGATTATTAAATTTTATTCTTTAAAAAATAAAATTTGAATTAATTTTTTAACTTTGAAATTTTATAATTTTTTTTCAGTAAATATTTAAGATATATATAAATTTTATAATAATTTTAGATTAAGTATTAATTTAAACTTTACTTTTATAGTACTGACAAAGAAGAATGCTTTGAAACTGGGTAAGTATAAGGAAACGCTATTTATATGTATAGTTTTAGCAAATAGAAAAAGTAATATGAATACATTATCATGAATAAATATTGTAAGGAACAAATTTATTATAAACATTTTTTTACTATATCCATATATTTTATCATAATTTATAATTTAAAATATGTTTTAAAGAAAGAGAGAAAAGAACAACATGAATTAGCCATGTTGCTGGATACAATAAACTATTATATATTTTTAAAAATAATACTATCTTTGATAACTTGAAAGTATCTCTACTTTCATTATTTGAGTTGTTTTCATTAGTATTTTTTTATTTTTTTTATTTTAACATTTTTATCCAAGACTCTGTAAGAACCGTTGTTGTTACTATATATTTGAATTTAAGTTAACATGAATTTTACTTAATTTATAGGTTTTATTTTAAAGATATGGAATTTTTTTGGAACTGCTTGGCTTGGAAAAACTAATATTTTTGTTCTGACATTTAACAAAGCAAATGTCAATATCATGTTCTTTCTCTCATGTTTTGTTCTTTTATTTTACATTTCAAATACGTTCTGATTTTTCTAATGTCAGTTTTGTAACTTCAGCCCTGAAATTGAATTTAAAAAAATTAATTGCTGTTACTTTTTATTTGAATTTTTTAAAATCCTTCCTGTCCTGGGATACCAAGAAGGACAATTTGAATTTTCAAAACTTAAAATTTGGACAGTTCACTGACTTAGCTTAGCTTGAAAATTCAGAACTCTGAAGAAAATATTAAATAAAAATACAATATAAGTAAAATATTAAAAAAAATATAATATTCACATAGTGAATTAGGATAAATTCTGTTTCTTTAATAATTCAAACTAATATATGAAGGTCATTCTAAAAAGTAAAGAACATTTGTTTCTCTAGATATTTTTATTTAAGATAATGAAACAAAACTTATTTTAAAACACATATGATACCTCAGCTATTTTTCATGTAGTCGCCACACAAATTTAAACATTTGTCAGAGCATATCACCAGCTTTCCTATGCCTTCTGCACACTCAGTTACTGCCAATTTGAATCAGTCATTAATGGTTTCTTTCAGTTTGTTGTCACTTCCATAGTGATTCCCAGCCAAAAAATCCTTCAATTTTAGAAAAAGATGTAATCACTCAGAGCCAAGTCTGGGCTATAAAGAGAATGTTCAAAAACTTCCCACGTAAAATGTTGAAGCAAGTTCTTTGTCAACACAGCAGCGTGCAGACATGCGCTATCTTGAAGAGGCACAATGCCTCTCGACAACAATCCCCGCCATTTGTTTTGAATGGTGCGGCATAATTTTTAAAGGATCTGACAATAGGCTGCTGGTTTATGGTCTCTCCTCTAGACATGTAGTTGATGAATAGGACACTCTTTTGATCCCAAAATACTGTAGCCATAATCTTTTTGGTGCTCAGAATTTGTTTGGCTTTTTTTGGTCTTGTTGGAGATATGGAATGATGCCATTCCATTGACTGGCATTTTGTTTTTGAAGTTTTATGCAAAATCCAGGTCTCATCACCAGTAACAATGTGGTTCAAAAACTCCTTGCCATCCTTGTTGTACTGACTAAGAAAAGTCAGTGCAGTTCCCATCTGATTTTGAAAAAATAGGAAGGTCCATGATACAGTGGTGGGGGTGGGGGGAGAACTGCATGGCTCATCAGATCAAAACATTCTTTTCTTTTAGAATGACCCTCGTAGATGCTTCTCATGATATGAAATGGCAGTAAGAAGTTCTGCAATGGTCATAATTGGGAGCTTTCATTCAATATTTATAATTGAGAAATATACTTGATTATGCATTATTGAATTCAAATTTTTCAATTACTGTTAATATTGGAAAAAGATATTATTTTGGGTTCCCATCCTTTTATAAGTTTATTTTATGGCTATGTCTTTAGTTATAATTAATACATAATTACAAAAACATCTCTTTGTAAAATAAGTGTTAAGCCAAATTACACTGATAAACTAGAAAATATGTTAATTATAATGAGTATTTTTAAAACGTAAAAGTGAACAAAAATGAATTTATTAACAATAATTAATTAATTTTTTTAGAATGCTATGTATTCAAGAAGAGTTGAATCAGATAAGTTTAAAACAAAGCCCAAAATCACCAGTATCTTCCATTCCTCATCAAACCCCCATTACATCATCACCAACAAGAACCTCAAGCATTCAAAGTTTAACAAGTTCATTGCCAGAACAAAGTAAAGGCTTTGAAGTAGGTTATCGTGATGGAGGACAGCAACATTCATCTGGTTGGTTTGATGGTTTATTAGGCTGTCTTAGACCTGTGTGGAGTATTCTTGGCAAAGGAAGTTCAAATGAAATCAAGGGCCAAGGTTTGTATTAATATTATATAACTTAATTTTTTAATACACATTCAAAATAAGTAGTTATTTTTTCCCAGTACATGTCCCGGTCATCAAGTGTAGAATTATTTTGAATTCATCTCTAAATTTTAATTAAGGTTTTATGTAATAACAATAATAAAAATATTCTATTGCTAAAAATGCTGTCTACATAATAATTCTGAAAACACATGGATTTGATAATGAAGAAATAAAAATATTTCTTCATTTGTTTTTATCATTATTTATGAAGGAACACTTGTGTATTGAATTTAAATGTGTGTAAATTAATTATAATTAATTTTACAAAATTTGATGTTGTAATTGTAATATAATTTAATTTTAATGTATTGTTCAAATTATAAATCTCCAATGAACAATCAAATAGGTTCCACAAAAAAATTCATTATTAGAATTGAATTAACATAAATAAATTTTAAAGAGTTTACTAAAACCACACCTTTTTCACACTTCTGGCAATGAATATTATCATAAATGTTTTCAGTCTTTTTCAAAGTCCTGTTTCAGGTTACAAGCATTGCTTTTCAAACATTGACAGAGACTTTGTAAATTTGGAATGTCAGTCAGTGTTTGATATACAATACTTGTAACCTGAAGAGACCAAACATGCTTGTGATTATAAATATTCATTGCTGGAAGTGTGAGAAAGGTGTGGTCTTAATAAGTAACTGGTTCCAGCTTCTGTAAAGTGATAATTTGAAGCGCTTTTGGCATTTGGAAGAAATTCATTAAACACAAAATATTGTAATTTTCTATTTATAAACTGCATATGCAATATTTTGTCGGCAAAAAAGTTTATCATCATATAATCCACAGATGTAATTTCATTGAAAAACAAAATTGTTGTCATCTAATTTGTGAAAGTTTGTTGTTTATTTTTCTTGGCACATAAGCAATGAAATGATACAGTTTGTAAGGACATTTAATAATTAAAAAATATTCTCAAATTTATGAAAAAAATTAAACAATTTCTTAAAAAAATGATACAATGAAAATTTTTTAAGTTCAGAATTATAAAATAGCCAGTTCTTGATTTACAACCTCCTAACTTACAATGGCTGAAACTGGTTAATTAAAAAATTATTTTAGTCCAAACAATTTGTCTCACTCACTAATGGGATGATATAACAATTAAATGTTAATGAATAGTATAATGGGCAATAATATATATTCTAGGTAGGAATAATTCCTACATTCATTTTTGTTTAACTTCAACTCTGGTTTACATCATTAGTATTCAAAATCAAATCTGGAAGTTTCAATGAAGTTTCTCAGTTCAGGATTATTGTAATTTTAATTTCAAGTTTACAATAAATTTAAAGTGAATTAATACTAAGTTAAATAAATAAAAAGATTGATTCTACACACAGATTATAATGATGTATGATTTTTGATTCTTTTGAATGTGGTGTCTTACTAGTATTAATAAAATATCATAATTAAATAGTACTTTTATAAGCACTATTTGGATATCGATAGTGGACAAATCTTTTCATGATATATATGATGATGATGAGTCAGTGTCAGTATCAGATGCTATTGTTATTATATGAGCTAAAACATTTAAAACTAAGATTAAAACATATTTTAAACTATGATCAGCTTAAAGATGGACATTAGAGAGTGGAAAGATACATAACTAATTCTATATTCCATTTATAAATAGAATTGAATTTGTTCATTGGCACATTTGTCTTGAGTGTCTTCCTAACATATAAATAACAAGTCATTATCATGTTAAGAAGACTTTGTAATGCAACAAAAGGTGAAATAATTTTAGAGATATTTTTTGATATTTTGGAAAAATTAGCCTGTAATCTATGTCTTGAAAGTTGGAATGTTTTTTTAAACAGAGTTTGGTGGTTTATAGGCAGGAAACTACAGTAGTTAAGTTAGCATAAACATTAGAAAAGTGTTTTGATGAAAAAAATTTCAAATTGATTCTAGAAGTATTTGTTGTTTCTTTAAGCAAAATATTCAAAATAAATTTTTTTTGAGTTATACTTTAAAATAGCTAAAATATGTTTAATATGACAGTCTTGTCATAACACACATCAATTACCACTGTCTATCAAGTGAACAATAAATTGAACTGGAAACACTAAAAATGCTTTTTATCTATAAAATGCCATATTTTAAGTATTTCAAAAGTATTCATTAGCCATCCTTTAAATATAAGGCAGCTTGATAATAAATATTTGCCTTATTACTTTTTTTTTTTTGAGTTTATTTAGAATACTTTGAAGAATAACTACAAAGAAGTAAAATAACAATAGTCAAATTATTCTGACTTATTTGTTAAAATTTGTTTTTTCAAAATAAGCAGTGATAATTTCTAATATTTTTAGGAGTATATGTACTTTATAAAATCTTTTAATAAAGATAATCTAAAAATATTTTAAAATATACATTNATATAAAGAAAACGAAAAGCCGCCCAAAGAAGTAGCAAAACCAGGAATTTGTTTTATTTGTGGTAAACACAAAAACAATAGGACAAAATCGATTTGTCAAAAATGTGAAAAACATGTTTGCAAAAAGCATAGTAATATAGTTATTATATGTGCCATGTGTGAAGCTGAACATCACATGGAAGTAGAGTGACTTCTTTTTATTAACTAAATATTTTATAACCAATTTGTTTATTAAAATGCCATAAAAATAGTTTTCTGGTATATCTGAATCATATTTTCAAAACAATAATTAATTATTGACTTAAATCAAGTAATATTATATATGCGGTGTAATTGCCGCGATGCGCCCTCTCGTGAGATCCTGAAAGGCGCGTTCTCCGAAGGGTTAAATGAATTCAAACTGCTGTATTCAAACATTTTCAAAACTGCTGTTCTTTTGTAGATTCTTAACGTTTAAGTTTAAACCTGATGAAGAGCTATAGAACAAGTTTAAAAGCAATAGTTTAGCAAAAGTGTTTTGTTGAATATCTAAAAAAAAATTGTTATTTATTTATAAATTCTTCATATCCAATTGGCAGTTATAAAGGATCCAAAGAGCTAAAAAGGAAAACTATAAAATTCTTAGCATAAGGACATTTTATTTTTTACATGGAACATATAATAAAGTATAAATATTATTTAAAATTTACAATGTTGAAGACTAAATACAAAATAGCATTTTAAAAATATTTTCAGCACATTCATTCACAATTATTGGAACACAAAAGTAGCAGAGGCTCTTCAAAAATATTTTAAAAAGTATCTGTCACTAGAGAAAATTCAAGACAATTTGCATGTGTATAGGCAGGGAAGAGCTTCAAAATAATTTTTTTTTTCTGCAATTTGAAAAAATTGTAGACTTATAAATTCCATTGTTGTCTGTCCACCCATCTTTCCTTAATCTTGAGAATGGAGATAGATGAAAGACAAGACTAGATATGAAAATCTTTGGGGCAGGAGGCCTTGATTTAATATATATGAACATCTGATACAAACTGGAAGTCATGTTTTTTCAATTCAAAAATTTCCTCCTGAAAAGTGTTAGATAGATGACTGACATGACTCTATTGTTAAAGAAAAATTATGATGTATACTACTAATTTGAGATGGAGAGCATATATTTTAAATGAAATTAATTAAAAATATGACTAAAAATTGCAGCCTGGTATTGTGATGATGTCACGATAAATAATTGCTCATTGTATTTAGTTTTCAACATTGTAAATACATTTTGTACTGGATTGTTTTAATATTTTTATTTTTACAAAATTATTTAGAATATTAAAACCATAAATTAAACATAAAACAGACAAAAAAATTATTTTTACATTACCAAAAATCAAAACTGGTAGAAAATACCACTACTACACAATAGCTCAATATGTTTGTTAGTCAGCTGAAAAATATACAAAAGTGCAAATCTGACATATGGAAAGTGAGTTAGGACATCAAAGAATCATTTATGAAAGAATGAATTGTCCAAAAGCTTAATGTTTGATAGTTGAGGACTCCTTTGACTTCTTTTATTTGTTCAGTTTACAAGATAATCATCCTGATGTATTGCTTGCATGTATCCAAACAAGAGATAGGTTGAAGAGATTGCAAAATCTTGTGCTTAATAATCTTATTTTGAATAGGGTTGAAACCTGAATAGGGTTGGGTTTTTGAACCCGTCAGATTGCAATTTGTTAGAGATCCTTTTTCAATATCAGAGATACCAGTTTCAATGTATATTATTATTTTGATTGTCAAAATTCACTTTATAGTGATGAAAAGAGCAAGAGTTTATAATTTACTAGCAGTACAAACAATGAAGTCCTGTCTTAATTATCAACAGGACTGATTATACATTGACCCAAAATGATTTTGAAAAAGTTCCGTTTTCATTAGACAGAATATAAATATATAACAACAAGAAATGCTAAACTTTAAAAAAATTGACATTAAATTATTTCTATTTTAATTAATGATATTCATTGATATAGGTTTAAGAATCAATTGCTCAGCTTCTATGCATTGTAGAGAACTAAAATAGGAAAAAGTTGACAGCTTCTAAATCGAACTTTCTAAAAGGTTCTGAGATTTTAAGTAAGAGTGCCTTCTAATAGTATAAATTGACATGCAGAAAGTGAACTAGATTAGAATTAAAGATGATAGGTAAAGATGTGATGCATATGCAGTTCAGTAGTTTGGAGAAAAATAACAGTGATGTTTTGAATGTTTCAGAGCATGCAAAAGATTTTTCATGTTTTCTAAACATTCTTGGCAGTTTTAGACAAAAGAAAAACTGTTTAGTTGTGTAATTGCTAGTTAAACTTGACAGATAATCCACATTGTCACAACCTGCATCTACTTTGTAATTGACTTTCAAACATAATCTATGAGTTTTTTGTGCAAAATTACAGCATTTTTTTTTTTATAAATGAGAACTAAGATTTATTATGCTATAATTCTGATCAGCTGCATTAATTCAACTTTATTTCTTAAATAATGGATATTTTTTTAATGTTAAAGCCAG